CCCCCCCCCCAGCCGGTCTGCCCGGGACCCCCGGGGAACGTGGGGGAGAGCGGCGGGGCGCGGCGGAGCGGCCCCTTGTGAACCAGGGGCGGGATACCGCAGTCAGCGCTGTCAGGATGGCCGAGCGGTCTAAGGCGCTGCGTTCAGGTCGCAGTCTCCCCTGGAGGCGTGGGTTCGAATCCCACTTCTGACAACTTGCAAAGCTTTTTGCGGAGGAGTCGCGTTTTTACCTTTAATGACTTCGTGGGTTTTAATTGCGGGGTGCTCGGTTTTTTTTACACTCGCCCGTTCCAAGCAGAAAAAAAAGCGGCCGCCGGGCGGCGCAAAAGGAACTGTCAGAAGTGGGATTCGAACCCACGCCTCCAGGGGAGACTGCGACCTGAACGCAGCGCCTTAGACCGCTCGGCCATCCTGACCCGTTGGCGCTCCCCCGCACCGCCGCCTTCCTGTGGTCACCCTTGGCCATGGCCGCGGGGCAGAGGGGTCGCCCCGCACCGGCCGGGGGGATGGGGAAGCCCATCCCCGGGCAGGTGAAGGGCAGGAGGCGCCGGGAGGAGAGCGGGTCGATAAACTCCTACCGGGAAACGATGGGCCCGGCAGAGGAGGGGAGAGCAGCCCGTACTGTCTGCCTGGGCTTCCGCGGGGCATGGGACACCATCTCCAATAAGATCCAGCTGTTGGTGTCCAGTCTAACTGGAGGCGAGTCACGAGTGGTGTACCCCAGGGGACAACACTGGGTCCGGTCCTGTTTAACGTCTTCATTAATGAACTGGATGCTGGGGCAGGGCACAACACCCAGCAGGGTGGCAGATGGCACCAACCTGGGAGGAGTGTGGCTGATGCTCCAGAAGACTGTACTGCCACCCAGAGGGACCTGGACAGGCTGGAGAGATGGTCTGAGAGGAACCTCCTGAAATTGAGGGTGGTGAGAGCCTGGCCCAGGTTGCCCAGAGAAGCTGTGGCTGCCCCATCCCTGGAGGGGTTCAAGGGCAGGTTGGAGGGGGCTTGGAGCAACCTGGGCTGGTGGGAGGTGTCCCTGCCCAGGGCAGGGGGTTGGTGTATGTGGCCTTTGAAGGTCCTTTCTAACCCAAAACATTCAGTGGTTCTAGGATTCATAGAATCATAGAATTGCCCAGGCCGGAAGGGACCTCCAAAGGTCATCTAGTCCCACCCCCCCGCAGTCAGCAGGGACACCCCCAACTAGACCAGGTTGCCCAGGGCCTCGTCGAGCCTCTCCTTGAATATCTCCAGGGATGGGGCCTCAACCACCTCCCTGGGCAACCTGTTCCAGTGCTCCACCACCCTCACAGTGAAGAACCCTCTCCTCATCTCCAGTCTAAATCTGTTCCCCTCCAGCTTGAAGCCATTTCCCCTCGTCCTGTCACTGGAGACCTTTCTAAACAGGCTCTCCCCATCCTTCCTGTAGGCCCCCTCAGGTACTGGAAGGCTGCTATTAGGTCTCCCCGGAGTCTTCTCTTCTCCAGGCTGAACAACCCCAGCTCCCTCAGCCTGTCCTCGTAGCAGAGGTGCTCCATCCCCCTGATCATCCTCGTGGCCCTCCTCTGGACCCGCTCCATCAGGTCCATGTCCTTCTTATATTGAGGGCTCCAGACCTGCACACAATACTCCAGGTGAGGTCTCAGCAGAGCAGAGCAAAGCAGAAGAATCACCTCTCTGGACTTGCTGGCAACACTTCTTCTGATGCAGCCCAGGATGGGATTGGCCTTCTGGGCTGCAAGTGCCCACTGCTTGCTCATGTCCAGCTTCTCCTCCACCAGCACCCCCAAGTCCCTTCCCTCAGGGCTGCTTTCTAACACCTCACCCCCCAGTCTGTGTTGATGGTGAGGATTGTTCCGGCCCAGGTGCAGAACCTTGCACTTGCTCTTGTTGAACCTCATGAGGTTCACCTGGGCCCACCTCTCCAGCCTGTCCAGGAGACGTGCAAAGTCCTGCTCCCGGGGAGGAAGAGCCCCCGGGACATGCCGGGACACGCTGGGGAGCAGAAGGTGGCCCCGGGCGGTGGTGGACACGGGGCTGAGCTGGAGCCCACGGGGACCCGCGCTGCCCCGGGCGGAGCAGAGCCAGGGGGTGCCGGGGGGTCCCGGGGCACCGGGCCCGGCGCTGGGACCCCGGTACGAGGGGGAGGGGGTGGCGCGGGAGGGACCGACCGCAGCATCTCCCTGTGCGGGGACGCCGGGGCAGCCGCGGGGGCTCAGCCCGGCCCCCCCCAGCCCTATCC